ATTTCTCCATTGCTTCTTATATGCAAGAAATGCGCAGGTCGCTTGTGCAGAGAAACCGCAAATTAAAATAGAAGTTTTAAGAAACAAAAACACGGATATCTAATTCAAACAAAGGGTATCGTTGAGAATCGGGTATTGCCATCTTTGCATGAAGTTTGTAGGGTAATTGAAATTACGCTTACAGTCCCTTGAAGAGAATTCGCCAACGTTTAACAAGACAAAGATATAAAGGGAATGTGAACCTATTTTGAAGTGAATCTTTACTAAAATTTGACCAATATCAATTATATTGGTTCAAGATAAAATATGGAAGTTTTTTTATCGAAAATTAAAACAAACAAAAAGACATTGCTAAGGATAAATATTTTTTGAAAACTTAAGGCATGCAATATTTTGTGTTACTTTTGTATTCCGGATTTCGATCTTTTGTTAATCTGCAGATTAATTTAATCAATATTTGATATCCTGCATCAGTGTTATGTACCCTGATAGAATAATAGAATAGACGAGATTAAGCATTTATCCTCAAATTAAAAGTGACCACACTGGATATCAAGATCAAGCAATCAGGATTATGAGTTTCTAACACATAAGTTTCCAGCTCAGATACTTAATTTGTTTTGTCATTACTCATTAGTAAGATTCTGGATACTAGAGTTTGGGAACGGAGGAGAATACGGAGAACTGGGATCAGTTCTAAGGATTAGGAGACAAGATCAACTTTAATATGGTTTAGGTTTCTCCGGAGATTTCTCCAACCCGTCCAGAGGGAATAAAGAAATAAAGTAAGTTTAAGACCCATTCTAACCTACTTACACTTAACGGGGTTTAATTGAACCCAGAGTGAATTCTACCCGTCCTGGAATATAGTATCATCTACAACAAGACCTGGCCAACCTTAATCTATAACTAACTCAGTATTGGTACATATATCAGGAGAAGGATTAAATTATATCAGCTCCTTTAAACACTTTCATTTCCTTTAATCCAAACCTTTAAGTAAGTAAGTAATTACTTATCTACAAAATATAAAAACAACAAAATAATAAATTAAATGTTTAAGGAGAAAATATTTAAAAATCCTCCAAAAATAGAAGTTGTGGGAATATTTTCCCCAATTCTTAAAAAGAGGAAAAGGAAAGTTACAATTATTTGTCTTAATTAATAAATAATTGTAAATATTTAGTACACATACTCAAATGTAAAGTTGCCATGGAGGCCTGTTGGGCGGAAAAAGATGTAAATACATACATATTATCATTATTCATACTGATGATTGCATAAAAGCATGAAACAAGCTGTTTATGAATGAAATGTTATAAGAAGATTGTTGTGTTTCAACTGATACATATTATCATTATATAATAGAATAATTAAAAAGTGAAGTGGAATATTTCTTATCTTTTGAGTCACCTTCCAGCATATATAGAGATTTACAAAGTTTACAAAGCAATAAATACAAATTCCTGATAAAACTCAGTTTCAGCCAAACATTCAACTTATTACGCAGTTGATCAAATTGTTATATATTCAAGTGACTCTCCACTAGGCAACATCAATATTGGAACTGAGTTAACCGCCCACCGGGAGATTGTTCTTTGAGATCTAAACTAATTTGGTGATAAAAAGAAATTGCCAAATCATCCACTCGGTTCTGATCCGACACTTTAATGTCAAAAAATCCCTTCAAAGGCCCAAAAAAATAAAATTTCAAAACAAAGTATTTTTTACAATTTTTTTGTTGATATTTTTTGCTGAATTCATACAATTTGTTTTTTCGAAATCCATTTTTTACTGAAATTTAAAGTGATTTCTCCAACATTAAATTGTCGGATGGGAACCGTATGAATGATTTCGAACATCCTCGTGATCGCATTATTTCTTCCAGGTTTTAATGCCAAAACTCCCAGTGGAAGGTTGGCTGATTTCTAAAAAAATCATAAATCAATCATACCTACTCTCCGCTGTATGGTGTATTTCCACCAGCCAAAACCAAACTTCATCATCACTTCTTCCGATTTAAAAAGGCAGTTTAACTTTCTTTACGGATAATTTAATTCTCTATAAGTAAGTTCAGCGCATGTTTATATAGAGTACACGATAAACTGAATAAACTATGTTAACTAAAATTCTCATAAAAGGAAGGAAAAGTTCAGTTCTAAGGTTCTACAAGAGCATATATTTAGAATGAGCTGCTGCAAGTATATAGGGTTCTAAGGTTCTACAAGAGCATATATTTAGGATGAGCTGCTGCAAGTATATAGGGTTCTAAGGTTCTACAAGAGCATATATTTAGGATGAGCTGCTGCAAGTATAAAGGGTTCTAAGGTTCTACAAGAGCATATATTTAGAATGAGCTGCTGCAAGTATATAGGGTTCTAAGGTTCTACAAGAGCATATATTTAGAATGAGCTGCTGCAAGTATATAGGGTTCTAAGGTTCTACAAGAGCATAAATTTAGGATGAGCTGCTGCAAGTATAAAGGGTTCTAAGGTTCTACAAGAGCATATATTTAGGATGAGCTGCTGCAAGTAAATAGGGTTCTAAGGTTCTACAAGAGCGTATATTTAGAATGAGCTGCTGCAAGTATATAGGGTTCTAAGGTTCTACAAGAGCAAATATTTAGAATGAGCTGCTGCAAGTATATAGGCTTACCCACATAGGATTTGGAACAAATATGGAAACCGTTAAAAAAACTTTATGAAATCTGAAAAATTTTGTTAAAATTTTTGGTATTTTTTAATACAGCTGAATTGCGCAGCAAAATCACAATGTTAGCTTTATTTTATACAATTGATCATCTTCTCATTAAATGATGAAACTTTTTTATAAAAGATAATTACAAACTTGTACAATATTATTTTAGTAGTATTACAGTATTCCAATTTCTCCCCCTTTGGGATTCTTTGGTCCCAGGGACCCTCCTCCTGGGGGAATCCAAGGAGGGGAATCCAAGGACCCAGAAAACCCCCTAGTGGGAAACAACATCCCAACATTTATTTTTGATATTTTTTAAATAATTGGTATTAGAAATTGTCCGTATGTTCTTCGTATCTATTCATTGGTTCAGAATTCTGCTATTCTCTGCTTCTTTTTTAATTCTGATATTTCTTGTTTGTTGCAAGGAAGTTTAGCTCATTATATGTTTCTAAATTCAATATCTCAGCTGCTGACACTGAACCCATGAGCAAAAATAATAATAAAAAAAATAATCCTTGCAAGTTTTCTGCCTTGATGTCTTCAAGCTTGTCCATGATCCTCCTGTCCTCATGATGCTCCACGGGGTGGTCTCTCCACCTGTGCTTCAGGAAGCTCTGCTCAAAGGACCAGGATCTTCAGGCGGTTGGAGGCTGTCCTCATTCCTAAAGTTCCCGTTTACATCAAGCTGCCCAACTCCATCTTCCAGCTGATCAAGGGCCACTGTTCCTATTGTTTCAGAAGCCTCAATTTCACCTTCATCTTCTGTGGAATGATCAGACTCTAAAAGTGGGATGATCTCATCCTCAGATGCATCCTTAGCCTCTTCCTCAGCCTCCGCTGTAACTTTGACAATGGGAGCTGAACTGCTCTCCAGAGAGGCTAGGTCCATGGGATCAATCTCCTCCTCATCTACATCATCCGGACTCACAAGGTACACAGGGTTCCTCATCATCAATCTTGATCTGCTGATCTTCGTGGGGACTAACTGTAACTCAAGGATATCCTGTACACTGCATGTAGCACAGGACCCAGCGCGGTAGTGTGCAGGAGACAATTGTGTCTACTGCTAGGGCGCGGGTTTTACTGACTCATGTTCTGATCTCTCATTGTATCTAAGGGACTGTTCACCCTTTTCTGGATCAGTCCCGAATACAACAACATCTTGGGTAATACTTGTAAATTATACTTGTACTTGATGCTTCTCCACATTAGGAAGATTTGTGGTTGATGGATATTAACATTTTTCCCATGGGTTGTAGGTTTTACTTAAAAACTGGCTAACTAGAACTGTTTCTAAGTCATGGATATATAATAGAATGGATATATCATAGTCAAGGTTTGATGTAATTTTTTCGCTGGGGTGTTATGCAGTACATTAGACATTGGACCCTGGAACTTACAATTTGTCATTGGTTTCTGGATAGTTAATAGATGTCAAAGGAGTATAGAAAAACATTGTAAGTCTTTAAAACTTGATAAGATTTAGCCTTTTCTTTGTATTATAAAAATTGTTGGAGATACTAAAGATTTAAACAACCTTGCTTATATTTAATATTTTGAATTTTAAACAAATTTCTCAATATCTTTGTCAATTCTTAAGGTACCAAAACGGCAGACCACATTTTGGAATTCTGAAAACAAGGCGCCTTTGATGTTACCAACTCTTTGAAGAAAATGCTATGTCAACAAGATTTTAGCTACAGTATCTCATTTCTGCCCACTTTATACCAAAGTTCTTCTCTAATTTGGACCCTGAACTTCACTTCAAACTTTTTTAAAAGTACAAATTATTTTTATGGAATGAACAATAGCCAAAATAAAAATTTGTTATAGAAGAACCTAAAATTTGCTATGCAGAGGTTTTAGAAATTTCCTAAAAATATCCACTGAGAAATAACAGCTGCGTAGCCCACCGACAAAGTTACATGTACACTAGCCGAGAATAGATAGATCGGTAGATAGAAGCATACATTTAAGCGGGCTGTGTTCTAAGTAGTGCAAGTCAAGCTTTTTCAAAGCAAGCCTAGACCCATGAGAGGTAAAAAACCTCTGTTCTCCAAGGTAATACAGCGTTGACAGAGGAATGCAGGCATTCCTTGTTGATTATCTTGTTTTCCTCATTAATTTTCCTTCATACCTATTTTGCATATTTTGCACAAATTTTTGTTTGTGTATCAAATTCGTAATTTTTTACACTTCCTTATGCACATGAGAAATAAAACATGCAAAATCAGATTTTTGTATGGAGTTCTGCGCAAATTAACTTTATTTATTTATCTATAATATATATTCTATTAATATTATATATATAATATCATTCATCCCTTTCAAGCGTCATGTAGAATACTGTAGAATACTGATAGATAAAAGAAATTTTTTATATTTTACATAATATAATCTAATATAATTTGGTACATTCTGATAAAATAAAAACACTTAGCAATTTGTTTTTCAGATATTAAGAAGGAAAACTGAGTAGCCCTCGAAAGGGTAAATTTGTTCAAAATGTCGGCCTTAGAAGGAGCAGAGGCAGAGGTAAGAAAATCCAACCCCTTAAACCCTTCAGCTCTTTCATAGAGTATATAGATTTACAGGATTTCAATGAACATTGTTGTCTCATTATAATCTACATAAGAATACAAATAATTATCTTAAAAATATATAATGTATTTTGCAATCAGTGACCATTAATTACAAATAAAAAGAATTATTTTAAAAAGGAAAATGTTGTAACAAAATGTTAATTCATAAAAGCATGAAAAATCTGTAATTTAGAAAGGGGAACCTGAGAAACCCAAAGAATGTGTCTGTACATTGAAACTTGGAATATGCAGTCCTTTTATTGGATTCAATCCTAGCAGTACCGAAGAAGATCCTTTGTTCCAAGTGCTTTCATCGAAATTAACAGAAAAATTAAAAATGGCCATGGAAGAGTTTGATTCATTTCCACATGGAGTCATAGCTATGCCCCCGGACCACGCACCATACATTGCTAGAAAAAAGGATCCTTATGAAACCAAGAACCAGGACAGCTCACCAGAATTGGATAAAAAACCTGATGAATCCGATCTGGCTGGTTTTTATGCTGAAGATTTACTCTATGGAACGGTTTTAGCTGAAATAAAGAAGTTAGATGATTCATCAGATGAAAAAGCATTCGTCATGAAGGGTTATAAGTCCAGTACTTTTATCCCACGCTTGCGAGATATAGCAAACAAAGAGGCCAAGGCAAGGGGTAATGATCTGCCAGTGGAGCTGACAGATATAGAAAAATTAGTGAATCTTGATCTTAAACCCCTGGATGACTATATAGCAAAGAAGAGGAATGGAGAAGATGTCAGATTAAACAAGCAGTTTGAAAAGTTCATAAAAACCCATGGATTGGAACCTGACGTTCGCTCGAAATTCAAATTCATGAGAGATCATATGAAAAATGGGATATCAGACGCAGAAGTAGATACCTTGATTGTTCTCCCATTGCGTAAGCTGCTAATTGTTATTGAAACTAAAGCAGCAACAGAGGATACAAATTTCCCCAGCAAACTCAAGGAAGGATCACAGCAGTGTGAAAAATTCCACCAGTACTTAAAAGCTGCACACTGGAATATCCTGTCTGAACAATGGAAATTAGTGAAATGTGTTTCATTCCCATTAATATTCAACCTAGAAGAGGAGAAAAATCAGGAGAAAATAAGACGACCGAACTGCGGATGCTGTCAGAACTGTCAAGAATTCATTATCGACGGAAGGAAAGTGTGGATCATTGGTTGGAAAACAATGTTATAGCAAATTATTAATCAAATAAATGACACTTCTCTTTCTACTTGAATACAAATTTGTTTTGACATTTTTGGCAAGCTGAGACCAAAAAAGAGAAAGTCCATTTTTTCGAAAAAAAACACTTTCATTAAATATTTATTTTGTAAAAAATACAGTTGATTTAGACATTAAAATCTGCAATTTTCCAAATTATTAGCTAAAAGCCACTAAAAAGTCGTAATTTTCCAATTGCCTTCACTAAACACCTGTTTTTCTTTATTTATAACTAAATTATTAATTAACCCTGTCTAAAGCCAATTATTCACATTATTTACATATATGCTGTTAAAACAAACATTCCAACTTTTGTCCAACAGGAAGCTGAAAAACATGGGGGCCTGGTTGAGAAATGTTTTGGACAGATTTCCACCAAAACATGATATATACCATGAGTACACCAATCTTATCACCAGAATACTTGGCTTTACTATGTACAAGAAGAACCCAAGCCCATGGAGTTTAACACTAACAGAGAACCGAAAGGTCAATGACTACGCAATTACTGGAAGTGAATCAGGACTTTCTAGTGAAGCACCTGAAAGTTGGATCTGGTTGAGAAAGGGGCAACTTGAAGCTTTGAGTTGTTTGCGTGTTATTTTCTCTGCTGATTACGGGACTGGGAAGACGCTTTTACTGAAGGTAAGAAATTACATTTATATTAAGCTAATAGATTATAACATTAAGATATGAAGTGAAAAAAAGTGTTATTTAATATTGGGATTATAGATTAGTTGTGAGTATTAATGTTGTTTTGCAGAAAAAAAGATAATTCTATATTTAGAAAAAAGCCCTGGAGTTAAGTGACAAGGCTGCCAATCAAGGAAATACAAATATTTGAATACATTGATTGAACTCCAATACATATTATGATAGGCTGACTAGTGACCACCAGGGGTGGATACAGGAGTGAGCCATGGAGCGACTGTTCACCCCTGAAAATTGTTCATCCCTGAAGCTTTAGGGATGATCGCTACGGAAATAGAGAGAAAGTCTAAAATTCCAAATTACGTAGCAATTTCAATAGAGGAAGTAATGTATTTTTCATATTCATTCATAGTCATTAAAAAGGCATAATGATAACATTTTTAGTTGTGTCTTAAAAATTATAAGTTTTCCTTGTTTTTGGTTACTCAAGAGGATAAGGCTTTACTGACGACCGGGAACTCTTTTAATACCATGGATAAAGGTTAATTTGATCAATTTGAATAAATAAAAATAAAAATGTCTTTCTGAAGAATAAAGTGAAAAAATAACATTACCTCCTTTATTAGTCTAAACCATAACAAATCTAGTCATTTGAAAATAATATGATTTATAATTTTTGTTTTGTAAAAGATTAGATTACAATAATGAGCATTCAAGCAAAAGAAAATATTTGTTGCAGAAATAGGGGCATTTGGTCAAAAGGTTCTTTTCATCTCCCTAGCAGCACTAGCAGATAAATATAAATATGCAACAGAGGCTAAATTTGAAGAACACTGGAGAAATGAGACAATATTAGATCTCTGCAATAAACTTGATTTTGATGATCAAGTGAAAAAAGAAACAATGAAGGTAGGTAGGGGACAATCTTTGATTAAAATTTTTGTCCTAAAGGCTAAAATTTCACCCATGCCACATGATACAATGAGCCACAGTTTGTCATACTAAAATTAGATAGGCACTTAAAGCTGAGACTTAAAGGGACTATTGGCGTAGAGCCTCTGTTTAAAGAATTACTTACATGATTCACAATGGTACTCTCTAAACCTTTATTGCTTTTTGTCGTTTTTTTTCTATCTTGAAAAGTGATAAATTTTGTACATTTTCTTTATGGTCTCTTCTGCAAAAAACATTAACTCACTTTTTAAGAGAATCATAATTGAAAATTATAAATTTCCGGAGAGAAAAACAAGGAAATCTCCATCAATTTTACAAAATGGTTCAGTTGTAGATCAGGCATGAAAAGGTCACATGAAATTAAAAGAACATTCACTTTAATGAATTTTTATTGATGCATATTTTCATAATGTCTTGTTACTTGAGGTGTGTGGATTGAGTGATCTGGTAGAAGAGTATGAAAAATCAGGAAAGAGAGTAACAGAAGGGCAAGTTGATTATTTTTATAGGTATAAAAAATAATAATTATATCTTTGATAATAAAGCAATAATCTTAATTTAAGATAAATACAAGGTGTCAAAATAAACGCTTTTCAAGGTACAACAGCTCTGATTATGATTAAATTTTGACATTTTTGGACAATTTCAAAATCAACGTACTATTTCCGACCAATGAACATTAGTTAGAGGCTGGGAAAAAAATCATATAAAGATTATAGGAAAAGTAAAAAAAAACATTTTTTTATTTTAATTTTATATTAAGAGATACCTTATTTTGGTTTAAATGAATTATACCGGTCCTTCTTATTATTTCGTTAAAGGAATTGAGTTTTTATCACAAACTCTGATTTTTGAATCTCTATATCTGTGCAACCCGATGTCGTAGACCCTTAATATTTCAAGCTATGAATTCTGTTAGATAAAAGTGTCTAAATTTAAAATATCAAAGGTTTACACCATTTGGTTGCAAAGATATAGGCATTAGAAAGTTTGACTTTTTAGCAAAAACTCAGTTCATTTGTTTAATTCCCTAAATTCTGGTGGATTTTAATCTTTTAAAAGAATTTTCCTATTTTGAGACCCTTTAATGAAATCACAAAATATGTTAAAAAAACAAATATAATAAATCTATGAACTCTACTAAGCCAAAATGGCAAACTTCTGATCGTAATTTATGCTTCTTAAATTTTAGTATTACTAACCTCTATGTTGTCCATCTCTCAGAAATGTAAAATAAAACCATGTATTAGCTGTAGTTCCAGAAAGGGACTGTGAGCAAAATGTGAAGTGACATTCCAATTTCCATATNTTATATTTTTGCAACCCACACAGAGCTTACTGGTAAGACCTTGGGACCTTCTAGCTCCTGTAGCTTAAAGTTTACACACACAAGTGAGCTTAAGCCAATTAGATGTTAGAAATTCATAACATTTTTGTTTTGTTTAATAGTTTATCAATTGTAGGAGGATTTACGAATAAAAACATAAAAGATTTCAATCTGAAGTGCAATTTACTTTAGTTTGAAGAATGAAGGATAAGAATGAAGAATGAAGGATAAGAATAAAGAATGATGGATAAGAATAAAGAATGAAGGATAAGAATGACGAATGAATATTAAGAAAGTAGAATGAAGGATAAGAATGAAGAATGAAAGATAAGAATAAAGAATGAATAATGAAGGATGAGAATGAAGAATAAAAGATAATAAGGGAGAATGAAGGATACAAATTTAGAATGAAGGATAAGAATAAAGAATGATGGATAAAAATTGAGAATGAAGGATGAGACTAAAGAAGGATAGATGAGAAAGAAAAATGAAGAACAAGAGTGAAGAATGAAGAAGAAGAATAAAGAATGAAAAATGATAAAGAAGAATGAAGGATAAAAATTAATATTGAAGGATAAGAATGAAGAATGAGGGATGAGAAAGAAGAATGTTGGATAAGAAATAACAATAAAGGATAAGAAAAAAGAATGAAGGATAAAAAACCTGATGACTTTAACCTTAGATATTTAATATTTATATTAATATTTATATATATCCGAATTTAATGAATTTGAGCAGCTTCTCGAATCAGCCAAAAAGCGGCTTAAATCTTGAAACATTGAATACTATTTAAATAGGAACCAACCATATTTGAGATTGAGCTGCGTCTAAAATTTAAGCCACGGCTCAAATTCTTTAAATTCAGCCTCAGTTGTGTTTAGTTAACTTAAAATCTTTCAATCCATAATTATAATATAAAGATTTTGTGAAAGTACAAACTAAGTTCTTTATACAGTGATAACCAAAAACACTGGATTAAGTCATAACTTTAAATAGTCTGCAATGCAAACAGGAGACACAACAATTGTGCAGTGTAAACAAACCCATTTCACTTAATAAGTGATTTAACGACTTACAAGTTGCTTTGTAACACATCAAATGCACTTCAGTATTACTTAATGTCGTCTTCCTATTCTACAGTTTTCTGGTTATCATTGTAGTCCAGTAAACTCAGAGCCTTATAAATGCATACTTTAGGAAGGGCCCAGGGGGGGGGGGGTCCTTCTCAGTCATCTATGTTACTTTATTCAAGTTCAAAGAGTGAAAATAATAAGATTTGTGTTAGCAATTATGCAGAAACCTCCAAAAGAAATGATTTATTTTTGTCTTAATTAACACAATTTGATTAAAGTTGGTCCACAATCATGATTAGTAGAGTGGAAAGAAGGGGGGGAGGAGGGGCTGAATCAGGTTTGTCCTCCCTCTACTTGCGCCACTGATGTTAAAAGTGTGTTTACAAGATTAAATATGAAATATTTTTAGCTTTACTTTTTGATAAACATATATTTATATATGTCTTCCTTTTTGTTCAGGTAAAAATATCGATCGTCATGTGTGGATGGCAATTAGAAATGTAACAATGTTTAGATCAGAGTATGAGAAAAAATTTCCAGAGGTGTGTCTTAATTTTTCCGGTGAAACCCATAACAAACCCTCAACAAAATTCCATATCTCATATAGAAATATTGGTTTAATTACTTTAACATGTTAAAGATC